TAGCAAATGTTTCATTCACAACAATGGTAAGGACAACCTTAGAAAGTTTGATCCAATGAATGATGACAGTATTTTTTTGGATATTCTATTAATAGTAGATCTTTTAGAGTTTACAATAAACATACATCATGTGTAGAGGAATCAATGCATGTTATATTTGATGATAATAACACTATGACCGATAAAGGAGTCATTGCAGGTGATGAAGATACAAATCAAGGTGTATCAAAGACAATTGCGATTTAGGAACCTCAGAAGTTCACTATCAGCAGCAGCGAACCTACCGAGTCGACTGATGAATCTATGAGCAATCAGATTGAACTACAGAAAGAGTCAACTTCTAAAACTGCTGAAACAGGAACAAATGAATGGAGGAGTGAACCAGAATATCCATAGATATTCATTATAGGAAATCCAAATGATGGAATGAAAACTATGGGAGCACTGAAGAAATGCAAACATTGAACTTATTTCTCAGATCGAACCAAATGAGGTTAATGGAGCTTTAAATGATTCAAGCTGGGTATAAACTATGCAGGATGGACTTGATCAATTCGATAAAAATCAAGTATGGGAATTAGTGCCTAAGCCAACAAATGCTACAATCATTGGAAAAAATAAGTATTCAGAAATAAGTTGAATGAGGATGAAAAGGTAATCGGAAACAAAGCTAGATTGGTGGCCAAGACTACTCACAATAGGAAAGAGTCGACTATGATGAAATATTTGCTCTAGTAACCTAGATAGAATCAATTTGTATACTGCTTGCATATGCATCTTTTAAAGGTTTTAAATTTATTCAAATGGATGTTAAAAGCACTTTCTTAAATGGCTTTATTGATGAGGAGGCATATGTAAAACAACCTCCTGGTTTTGAAAACTCACAATTTCCTTACCATGTGTATAAGTTGACTAAAGCCTTGTATGGACTCAAACAAACTCCTCGAGCCTGGTATGAAATACTTAGCACATTTTCAGCTGATCATGGATTCACAAGAGGTAAAGTAGATACTACATTATTTATCAAAATATCCTCTAAAGGTAGGGGTGAAAAGTGGGCCGGTTCGGGACCTAAACGGGCCAAGTGGGCCGCGATCCCGGGTCGGTCCTGATCCTTAAATAAATAGGCTTAGCGATCCCGGACTAAACGGTCTTTTTGTAGGAATCGGACCGGGATCGAGTCCACGAACTCATGGTCCCAAGCTAAATGGGTCGGGTCTGCAGGCTAAGTGGGCCCAACGAATAAATAGTGATTTAAAAAAAATATTAAATAAAAATTAGAGACAAAATGATATTAAAAAAATATCTAAGGCAATGCCTTGTAAATTTATTATAGAATTGTGACCTAATTTTTTAATTCAAATTTAAAGACAAAAATATTATAAAAAAATATTCAAAGCAATGCCTTATAATTTTATTATAGCATTAAACGAATATGACAATATCTTTATTAGTCTTCCTCCCCCTATGGAATGAGCGCCACAAGGTGCTAATACCACCACTGAGAAGAAAAAGAAACTAATCAAGATGTGCCAAAATATAAGTTACATAATACATACTAATATTTGTTCATACAAGTTACATGCTATCTCTTACAAACTTCATAAATCCTTCAAGATTCGGAGAAATTTCCGTTGGTGGTGGCGGAAAAGTAGCTTGGTCATTGCCGCTTCCATTTTCGGACAAAGCAACATCCTCGGCAAGTTCAGCTAGCATTTCTTCGTAAGCTTCGTCTTCCTCTGGTTGTGATTCAGCAAGCCCAAAATTTCTTCTTTCTGAACGGATCCAATCTTTGAAAAATACTAATTTTTCCAAGCTCTCCCTCATAGACGCTCTATAATCACCTATTTGAAGTCTTGCTTGACTGAAAGCGCTCTCTGATGCTATTGTTGAAGCTTGATTAGTTAAAATATCTCGGTCCATCCTTGAAAGAACCGGAAAATTTTTTTTTCCTTCCACCACTGCAAAATATTAAAGGAGCCGTCGGGATTCACTTCCTCAAGTTGCTGCGACAAATAAACTTCAAGCTCATTTAGTTGTAAATAATCATTACAACTAGAACCAAATGAACCCTTAAATCCCGCCCAAGCACTAAGTCCTCTTACTCCCACAGTTCTTTTAGAAGATTGAGAATCAGAAGAAGAAGGAGTTGAAACATTTGGTCTAGCATGATTTAATGCAACTTGATAAGCATTATAAATAGTTTGAGCATTTATTCTAATTGAGGTTATGGCTTCCGGAAGTTTAGGCAACTCATTATCATCAAGTGTTAAACCATTATAAACAGTTTCATATCAAAATTAAGGACCTCCTAATTTCATACAAGGATTTAACAAAGCAGCAACACCCTAAATAGGGCGAATAGGGAAAAAATATTTTTAAAACTCTTTTCTCATAGAATCAATAGCAAGTTGATAAATTTTTTCACCCTCTGATAAATGAGCAAACAAATTTGCAAGTTCTGCAATATAAACTAAACAGTTAGAAATAGTAGGATAATATTGCCCAGAAAATTCATTTGTAGCAATATGAAATTGTTCTAAAAAATCAACAAGCATTTTAACATTATCCCAATCCCCATTCGTAAGGTAATCGTCATCATCACTTACATGTATATTAAACGTTGAGTTTATGGGGCTTCTATATTCATATACAACAACCAAACTTTCATACATGTAATTTCATTTAGTTGGACAAGGTTTAGGAATATTTCTTTCTCTTAGGCCACAATCATCACATCTTTTAAATTATTCTCTAAGTCTACTTCTACGGTTTGAATGAAAAAGCCAGTTAAGAGCCATTTTAACCTTTTCAATTTGAATATTTAAAATTCTCATACCATCACCCACAATTAAATGGTAAATATGATAAGTACATCTAACATAAAAAATATTACTAAATGCAGGATTTAGCGTAGTGGTTAGCAAGTCTATAGTATTTGTGTTATTAGTGGCATTATCTATTGAAACCGATATTATTTTATCACTAATACAAAAATATCTGCAAATATCCGTAATTGTGCTAGCAATAAACTTCCATGTGTGACGTGAAAAAATTATTCTATAAGAAATTATGCGCTTTTGCATTATCCAATCCTCATCAATCCAATAACTAGTAACAGTAAGGTAATCACAGTCGTTGCCACTTCTAATAATATCAGTTGTAATAGCAACACGATAATTTATATGAGTAAATAAATAGTGCAAATATTGTTCATATTCATGCTTATATTTATAAATATCGCTTTTTACGGTTGTGCGAGGAAAACCTTTATAAGTAGGATTAAAAATATTTCTAATATAATGCACAAACGAAGGGTTAGAAAGAAAACTATAGGGTAAGCACATAATAATTACCATTTTTGTCAATTCTTCCAGATCGTTTTTTGGATCATAATATAAAAGACCACCGGTAACAATGTTAATTCCTGATTGAAATTGATTTGAACCGTTACTAGGGTTAGCCTGACTAGGGTTTTACACTTAGCCTTTTTTTGTGGAACTAGTTGAGTAAACAATGGCCAAACAGGAGATATTTCCTGCCGTTTGATAGGTTTTTTAGAAAACATAGGAGCAGTAACAAGAGTATCAGATGGGTCATCATTTGTATTAGCATCGTTATCACTAGTTGGGTTAACATCAGGAGCAGGAACTAGTGGGTGTCTCATCATCCGGTTGAGTTTCATCAAGATCAATTTCCTCATCATCATTTTCATCAATAGCATTCACTAACTCATGGTCTAAATGTTCACCGGGTGAAATATTATGGCAAAATTGACTCTCGGTAAATTATAATAAATTATTATCGGTATCAAGAATAGCAGGTGTAGGACGGATATGGGGTTTGGTTCGGGGAGTCGGGGGCAGGGGAGGAGGAATAACAATACTACTAGATTTATGAGTCTTGGATTTTCCCTTATTCTTATTTTTACCAAAACTATTTCTTAAGGAAGACATCTTAATTAATCAAGTAATAGCAAATAAATAAATAAACAAACAAAACTATAATATTACGACTTAAGAGTTGGAACGAGTTTACCGAATTGACGAACAACATGTTAAAAATTGATTATCGTTGAAAACTTGAAGACTTCAATTCACCAACTTCACAATTTTTTCACAAATTGTAACAACCTCAATATGTTTTGACTATTTTTTGGAGTAAAATCAATAGTAGCAAGTATAGAAGAAAATTAGTGAGAGGTTATGATAGATTGATATTGATTTTGTAGAAAAACTGAAAGAATGAGGAGGTATTTATAGTTGAAAATAGAGAAAAAGTCTAATTATAAAAAGTTTAAGGTTAAAACAAAGTTGGGG